GTCATACCGTGGCGACTTCCGGTCCAATCAAAGGACTCTTTGGCATCGGGACTTCTCACGGGTTTGTGCAGATATATTCCCAAAATTCAGTATTATGTAGAACTGGAAGATTATTTTTATAGTGGGCCGGGGACGCACACAAATCCGATAGTTATTACAAAGGATTTCGATCGCGACACTCTGGAATTTATCGAGGAAGAGAAAGCTAAGGTAAAATTTGTACATTTGGTATAAGTCTAAGCAGCAAAGTCTAAACTACAAATAAAATTTAATAGATATTATAGTTGAGGCTAACTCGTCAATAAATAATCAAGTCAATAAAAAGCAAATAACTGTTCGAAGAACAACGAGATCTATTAAAAAGTAATAAAAGCTCATCTAGAAGATGATACACAAAGTAAGGCAAACTTGTTAGAATTCTATTAATGGATTTTGGAAATTTTGCAAATGGAGAACTTTTCTAGTAAAAAAAAGTTTACTCTTCGCGAGATTTTCGAAACTAATAATTTCTATAAATCTAACATAGTTTTCTTTGTGTTTTTCTGAGTAAAAGGTCTAATTTAATCATATTTGTTTTCCTTTTTGACAAAGCTTACTTAGTAATAAATGCAATAAACTATCGATAAGACCCTTCGAACCGTTGTTTGCTCTTTATGAGCCTTTAAGATTCTATTGTTTGTATTTAAGAAAGACGTTAACTATAAACTATGTATTTCAGCGACTTTTAAACGACGGTCCAGCCAACATCGTTGAGGTGAAGGCGATGGTATCCACACCGGACAGAAAAATTGAAAATACACTGAATAGGGCTGTTAATACTGAACTTGACAGAGCCATTCCTATGGTTATGAATAGGTTCGTTAGAATGCGAAAGAGCGCATTATTCAATCAGATCTTACTGTTTCATTAAAGAATGCAAGGTCCAATGCCGAACATGGACGATGACCTTAGGAAAGAGTTGGAGCAAGCTTTGGTAGACGAATTGGCGAAAAATCTTGGCGAAACCATCGATAATATGGGTCCCAGCCCAACTGATGAAGATCTAGGAACTCTCATTGGTCGGTGAAAGACTGAATCTAATTATGAGATAAGGGATGAATGAAATGGATGAATGAGTAAACGAA